AATTAATTAATTAGTTAATGAAAGAAAAAAGAAAGGTCTTCAGAAGGGTCTTCTTAATCCATCCAATTAAAGAATGAATTAGAGTTGAATAAAAACAGATGTAAAGGTTGATACTGTCATTTGCCCCTATCACACTGATGCTTAAAATATTATTGAATGCATGAGCACCAACTCAACAAATATATATTTAATGCTTCCTCTATTTCTAGCACTAGATTATTAAATATAGGGATAAAAATAGTCATAGATATTAGACTTTAACATCAAGGAAAGAGAAAGATCTTAAATTATAATGCGTATTCATCAATTGGTATGAACAAAATGTTAGGAGGAAAGAAGGGATGAAAGAAATTTAATTCTTCCAGATATGATATAGGATGTTTTTATGAAATCAGTAGCCACCTATTTGTACCACTTATCAGCCACAGGTGTGCTTTCTTATAAACATAAGTAAATTGAGTCTTCCTTGGACATGGGTGCACATATGTCACACTCATGTGAAGTTTTCAGTTCTTTTGGAAAATTACTCAGAAGGGACTTTCAATCCTAGTTTTCTGATGCATCTCCAGACTGATTTCCACAGTGGTTTCACCAGTCCCACCAAAAGTGGAAAAGTGTTCCTTTTTCCCCACAGCCTCTTCAGCATTTCTTATTAGTTGATTTCTTTATGATAGCTATTCTTTCTGGGATGAGACAGTATCTCAATGTTGTTTTAATTTCTATTTCTCAGATGACCAATGCCATGGAACATTTTTTCCATATATTTACTTGCCAGTTGTATTTCTTCCTCTTAGAAGTGTGCAAAATCTGAAAGGAATACTAGATATAGTAAAATGGAAAGAAATTGAACATAAAAAATAAAGATGAGAAAAGGGAAATGATAGAAAGAAATAAGAGGGGAAATCATGAAAGTATATATTTGGGGTAGCTGAGATGATTGTAGTACTCATTTCCATCAGTTTTTTTGAAAATAGCAGTTAATAGTTAAAATTTTCATTTTACCTAACTCCATATGCTATTATCTATATTCTGAGCAACTACATCAAGATAGCACACTGAATTAAAAAAACACAGTTGAATACCTCTCATCTTGTTCTTCTAAATGTGTACCATTTCTAAAGTCTTATCAATTAGTATTATTTCTTTAAAATAAATTAAAAAATATAGAGAGTAAAAAAAAGACATGGAAAGAAATTGTTATTTATTGAAAATAAGCATGGGGTACGGGGAGATAGCTCAGTAGAATAAGCACTTCTCTGACAAGCACAAGGGCCTGAGTTCAATCCCCAGTTCCACAAAAGAAAGAAAGAAAGAAAGAAAGAAAGAAAGAAGAAAGAAAGAAAGAAAGAAAGAAAGAAAGAAAGAAAGAAAGAGTGAATGTTTAATTATGTGACCAATTTTGCATACCTATAGTATTAATCTGAACAACAGATTTGTCAGTGAAAGTCTCTATTGTAACAACCATTGTTAATTTTTTATTCTTCTTTTGAACCTCTGTTCCATTTCTTTTTTTTTTCTGTGTACCATTTCTACTGTGGCTTGTTACTCTGTTTTTGTCTCTGCTTCTGCTATCTATTTTTACTCTTTAAAATAAAATTTTAAACAAAATAAGAATAATAAAATAGAAAGATACTCAAAAAAGAAAATATGAGCCATTAAATATAGAGATATTTTAGAACTGTCACAAACTAATACATATATTAATCAATTTGTTGACCCAAAACTCAATTTAAATTATAGAAAGATATTATAGTTTTCTTTTTCAAAACACTTAAATTAAAAATGCATGAGGCCCCTGGGTATTTAAGAACAATTTATTGCATACACTTTTCACATAATTGTGCACATTTTATTTCTGTCCCAATAGATGATTACATGTAAAATCTCTGTCCCAATGGATTGTCAGTGTAATTTTGCAAAACAAGCAGAGTGATTAACTTGCATTGAAAGTGAAGTAAATAATTTGGCCCCATGTACCACAGAGCCAAAAACACATTTAAATCTGACTTTACTGTACAGTAACAATTTCTTGGAACTTGTCCTCAGCATTGTAATAGGCATACTACTAGTTTCGACTTAATTTTTTATAGATGCAGATTAGCCTATATGTTCCAGAAGTAAAACACTAACTATTTGAGCTTCTTTGATACTTACCTACTTTGTCAACAGTGGTTGGTGTTTCTTGCCACTTAACATAAAATAACACAAAAATTCCTTAAGGTAGGTATTATCTCCAGGTAAGAATGTGGACAGTTGAACAGTTCTTGCAGTTTTCTTATGAAAACTGTGAGAGGCTGAGTTAGGAAACAGTGCTGGGTTTGCATGGCTCCAAAGTCCATGGTATTTCTGCATATCACTATCACTTTGAAAACCTTTATATTTCACACATGTATTTTCTTTAAAAATATGAAATTTGTTTCTGATTTAGGTTTTGATCTAGATTTTTTTTAAAGACCTAGAATCTGAGAATCCTGATATAAAATCTCAGTCCTTATCCTACAATGACAAACCACTGTCATGACTCAAGGACAAACTTGATTATTTATAATCTGATAGACTAGCTAACAGCATGCTGACCATTACATGTGCTTTATGTTCTCATTTTTCTTCAAGTAGAAATTTTTTTTAAGAAAAAGAAGTTCATATTCTAAAGAATATGTTGATGATTAGAGTAGTGGAAAACGATGAAGATGACTAATATTTTCGTCCATCTTGGTTCATGCGTAGCATTCTGAACAAAAGTACCACTGTTCTGAAATATAAATTATTCTTTTTAACAGTATATTTTCTACCTGTCCTAGCTGACTACTTCCAGCCTAGGTTCCCTAATCCTCTCACCCTGTCTTAATGGCTCTTCTTTCTTATTTCCTTATCATTACTTTTCTGAACTCATGAAGCTAACTAGTCAAGCAAGAATCTCAATGTTCCCATTCTGTTATTTAGTGCTGGCCCATAATGATGACTAGATTTTTCTCATCACTTCATACAATCCCATAAAAATAAAAAGGTATGGTGCAAGAGAACAGTCCTGAGACACTTTACAAAATATTTAGGATGTTTATCTCAGAACAATACTAAAAACTCAATTTGGCCTTTTCATTCTGAATATAGACACAATTTAGCTATTGATGACAATTATTATAACTAAAGATGAGATTTTTATTTCAAGAAAGTGAGCAACACAAAAACAAGATGTCTAGATTAACTCCCTTTATGACCAATTTATTATATAAATGGAGATAGCACTCAGTAGGGGGCTGGAGTAGAGGCACATTTGAGATGTGGATGGGAAAACCAAGAACTAGCCTTCCTCTGAATATTTAAGTTAATTATATTACAGGTCATTACAATCAATGTTGATGTAAATATCATTTAGGAACTTTTATGCATATTGGGATTTGACCCACTCTGTGGTATACACATAAATGTCAAATAACTGGATTGCAAGGTCATTGAGTCCAATTAAATAGTAAGTGGGATTTTAAAAAATTACCTGTACAAAGTATTCTATAAGTAAGGCCAAGTTACTATCTTCAATTTTTAATTATAAGATTATGTTTAGCTATATACATCCATTGTGGGGCCATTTCAGCTAGTTTGATCACTGGTTCTGTTTTCAATAGGTACAATTAAGTGGATAGATGGAGACCAAAAATGATACTTCAGTAACAGAGTTCATTATTTTGGGATTAACGGATAATCCAATTATACGTGTCATCCTCTTTGTGATTTTTCTAGCAGTTTATTTAGTGACTGTAGTGGGAAATATCAGCATAATTCTCTTAATCCAGAGCAGCCCACAGCTTCACACCGCAATGTACCTTTTCCTCAGCCATTTGGCCTTTGTGGACATTGGGTATTCCACATCGGTCACACCCATCATGCTCATCAGTTTCTTAAAAGAGGAAACTACTATACCTCTCACTGGCTGCGTAGTCCAGCTTGCCTCAGATGTTGCTTTTGGGACTACAGAGTGCTTCCTGCTGGCCACCATGGCCTATGATCGCTATGTGGCCATCTGCTCTCCCCTGATCTACTCGACACAGATGTCCACAGTGGTGTGCTTCCTCCTCCTGGGGGGATCCTATCTGGGGGGATGCATGAATGCCTCATCGTTTACAGGCTGTTTAATGAACCTGTCCTTCTGTGGCCCAAATAAAATCAATCATTTTTTCTGTGACCTCTTCCCACTACTGAAGCTTTCCTGTGGCCATATTTATATTGCTGAAATATCTCCTTCCATCTCTTCTGCATCGGTCCTTGTAAGCACACTGTCTACCATCATAGTGTCCTACGTATACATTCTCCACTCAATCATGAAGATGCGCTCCACGGCGGGAAGGCACAAGGCCTTCTCCACCTGCACCTCCCACCTCACTGCAGTCACTTTATTTTATGGCACAGTTTTGTTTGTGTATGTGATGCCCAAGTCCAGCTACTCAGCTGACCAGGTCAAAGTGGCCTCTCTGATCTACACAGTGGTGATCCCCATGCTGAACCCCCTCATCTACAGTCTGAGGAACAAAGAGGTGAAAGAAGCCATGAGAAAACTGATGGCAAAAACGCACTGGTATTCTTGAATTAAATAGACACTAATTCATAAATCGTAAAATTGCTTAATAGGGAAACATTTGTGCTTGAGATTTTAAGAGTATATATCATTAATTGAATTGCTTATATAGTGAAGAGCACCTATTACTGTAGAAACTCAATGTTTACTTACAACTAGAAAGTTAAATCTGTCATTTCCATGAACATTTGCTCAAACTAAACATTACTTTTTCAAGGTAAAAATAGTGAAGAAATTAACGCCTAATTTAAAATTTCTCTGTTTTCCAATTGTAGAATCCTGCTTAAATATAGACATATGTCAAAGAGTAAATTTCTTGAAATTTTATCTTGTAAAATAACAAGAGGTAAAGAAATTTTCCATAGATGTGTAATAAATGGTAATAGTGACAAGTCATTCAGCGCAGGTCATTTCTCACCCTGACATGGCCAACGGCTATTTAAACTTTTGAAAATATTGATATTAGTGTCTCAAAAGAGTTTCATTTATTTTCTTTTTTATTTGAATCATACCAAAAAGGCATAATTCCACTATTTGGGCATTTCTGGGATATAAGCCACATAACAACAGCAACAACAACAACAAAAAAAAAAAAAAAAAAAACTGAGTGTCATCTGAGTTTAATTGTTGAACTATTGTTAACTGAAGATAAGATTGAGAGTAGAATTTTCTACAAGAGCAGACATTTCTAGAGCAGACATTTCTTTGGGGATAGGAGTGACACAGCAAAGAATGTATTTTCCAATTTTTTTTTTCTTTCAGTGAGGTCTGAATCATCCTTTTTTCAACTGTCTTTTGCAAAGGTACTCATTTTAACATCACAATCCAGTTTGGTCATGGCAATTGTCTCTAAATTGATTTCTCATCTCTCACACGTTTTAACAATTATTTCTGATTAATATTTTACGTAACACACTTTTAGTATTAGCAGCACAGTATTAATGGACAAATCATGAGACAGTATGAACTGATGGCTTACAGAAAACCAGTTCCAGTTTCAAATGAGTTTCACAAACCAGCTTCATGGCTTCTTCATTGGTCATATCGAAGAAATTTCCTCTTCTTCCTGGAAAACATCCTGGAATTTGTCTGATCCTCCTTCCCCCTTTCTACTGCTTCTCTTGCATTGATATGGGCCTATATTTCCACCAATACAATAACTCTGGGGCTACAGTGAACACAGAGATAGACCTGGGTGAAGAGAAAGCATTCAAAGGTAAGACTTCTGTTGGGGAAAGGGTCATTACAGCATCACAGTGGGCACCTACACTCTGCTGATGGACCTCTTTACTTCCTATTACAAGTCCTCTTCATCTATCCATCCATACTTATCTCTGAAGGTATGTTTATCATCAGTCTTATGCCTTTCCTCCACCTTCCCCATAGTCCTTTTGGATGAGCTCCCCTTCTTTCATGAGGTCAGCTGCCACCTATGTAGCAGTATCCCTATCTCCAAATAGAATCTTGCTTGAAGGACAGATGAACCACTTCATTGACCTTTTCCCCAAGACTCTCAAACTCATTATGCTATGACCTAACTTATCATATTTCTTCCAAAGCTGTTCATTCTCTTCCATTTCCTTTCTTGGAAAATGTCATCTGTTGGTCCTGGTATGCCAATGGACTCGCAGTGATCCCCATGGAAAACCTATCTGAATGCTAGGCCTCTTTCCTTTCCTTTCTTTCCACACAATGACCTCATCCTTATCTCAGTCCCTTTTGATTAGAGGCTTAGGTGCTTCCCAACTCACCATGACAATTCCATGCAGAAATTTGTCCTATGTATTTCAACTCTAAAGGATTCAAATAATTCATTAAATCATACAGATGCAAAGAATGTGGTTGAATCTGACATCATTATACTCGTTTTTAGAAGGGATAGATTCATACTTATTTTTCTTCCCCAAGTCCTGATTCATATGAACAGTGAACAAAAAACAAGATATACAGGAGGGTGAAACACTACTTATAGAGATCAGAGAGTTACTATTGGGAATGCTATTTATATTGTGAACACATGTTTTCAGGTTCTGTCTTTGATTTATACGTTTTGTTTATTTATGGCCCTGGAGATCAAACCCAGGCCTCCTAGCAAGCTAGGCAAGTGTTGCGCTCACTACTCTATAGCCCAAATCCTGTTTTCATCTTCTGAATCTTACAATTTGACACAAATCTGTCACTGAGCAGATGCTCCAAACTTCCCGATAAAAGTATCTTTATTCATCCACCTACAGCATAGCAAAACTAGCCAAAAGCACTGAAATCAAGCTTGATCCCAAGACAGAGGAGGAAGAAGAAGGTCTGGGATATTATTTTATGGTGAATTGTGTGTTCACAAAATTCATATGTTGAATTTTTATTCTAGTACACTGCATTTCACTTTTCTTAATAGTGGGTTCATTAATGATATAACTCATTAAAATGTCCCCAGACATTAGTAGGTTGGGCTTCTAATAACCAGTGTAACTAATATACGGGGTGAAAGGGAATTTAGGGTATAAACATCACACAGGGGAGAATAGTCCATGAACATGAAGGCAGGAATTCTGAGTGATAAGCAGCCACAAGACTGTGCCAAACTTCTATAAGCCAGGGAGGAACAGACTGTCACAGCCATCAGAGGGAACTAACCTCACCAAAACCTTGATCTTAAAACATCCAGTTTGGGCCACTTTGTTCCAGTAGCTCTAGCAAACTAATACCACCGCCAGCTAATTTACTCTTGAAAAAGGAAAGAATGAAGACTTGGGAAGACGCTAGGTGTTTTGCTTAGCAGATGCCCCTCCAAAAAAAGAAAAAAGAATATGGAGAATGGTGAGAAGCATTTCTCACAGAATCCCTCAATAAATAAACACAAATCAGTAACCATAATGATAATATTCCCATGAGAACAATGAAAAACTTGTACAGTTCTTTAAAGGTTTACATTTACAACATACAGAATGTAAATTGCTATTTAGAAAGTAAAGATTCAAAAGGGAAGAAATTTTAAAATATCTCTACCTGTTAAACTGTTAAAAGGTTGTTATTTTATATGGATCTTAGAGATACTTTCCTCCTCTGAAAATTTTGGGATCACAAATATTTTTCCAGAATAAAGCACTCAACCTGTAGCACAATATTGGAGAAAACTAAAAGCAAAGGGACAAGCGGTAACTTCTCGGGGGGTGATGGAAGTATTACACACTGTATTTAGAGTGGGGTTTACACAGATCTATGGGGTGTCAAAAGTCATCAAGCCATCTACTTAAATTTTTTGCTTGTAAGTTATGATTCAATAAAGTTGGTTTTAAGAAGATTCTCTAAGAGAACACTTTCTTTCGCACTTTAACCTGAGACTACCAGCAACCACAGCATCACTACCTACCCACGTAACCCAGTACTGTTCCTTAATTATTTCTCAAAACTGTTGCCATCTCCCCTGTTGTATCTCTCCTGGTTTCTAATAGACTTACTCTTTTATTCCCCATCATCCCCTTTTTAACACTATGCTTATACTTGCAGTGATTTTTCTTCTTCTTGGAAAAAATCTTTTTATAATACAAGCCTACTAGTGGTGAATTTCTTTTTATTTTGTTGGTGATGAATTTAATAGTCTTTTTCCTCAAAAATTCTTTGTTGTATTTTCATTTTTAGAGGTATTTTTAAAGTATAGAATTCTATTTTTTCACCTTTTTTTGCTTTTCAAGATGGCATTTCACTCAAGGCCAGTTCAGGCTGGTCTTGAACTCACTATGTAACCCTGGTGGCCTCGAACTTCTAGCATCCCCCTGTCTCAGCCTCCTCAGTGCTGGAATTACAGACATGGACACCAGGCCCAGTTTTGGAGTACAATTATAGTTTATCCGCTAACCATCTTGGAACACATAAAACTTCAGTGATTTTAGTTTCTGTCATTCCTTTTGAATGTTTACTATGTGTTTTCTTTCTTTTGCTTTTTAAGGCACATGCCTTTTGTCTTCCCTTGAAGACTTTTCATAGTTTTACATTTTTTGTTGTTGTTGTTTATTTATTACTATTTTGCAGTGGAAGGTATCAGACCCAGGGGCCTTGCACATGCTGAGCAAGTATTATACTGCAGAGCTATATCCTCTGTCCACGGTTTCATTTATTTTTATCTTTTAATGGTTTACCTAAGTTTAACTATTTGTGTGCTTTTAATTTTCAGAGTTGTTTGTAGGTCACAATGTTTTATGGTCTGGGAATTTATCAGTGACCATAATATAAAAAGATTTTGGGGCGCTGGAGTCCCAAGGTGGATTCTAGAGGTAGTTTGTTTTGTTTTTTGTTTTTGTCTCAAACAAAGAATTGAACAAAACAAGCCGAGTATGTAAAAAGAGTCACATTTATCGGAAACAGGAACAAATTAAAAATGAAGGATAAAGGAGAAACTAGCTCTGCAAAGTGAGCTTGATTGGAGGAAAAATATAAAACTATGCATATATAAATATAAAATAAAGTAAATGTACATCCTGGGACATGGGGCAGTCTATTGTAAGGAAAGCCACAATAAAGCTCCTTTAAAGTACTGTCTCTCTTGTCTATTTCACATGTGGCCATTTTTGTGAGAGGTCCACATCCGGGCTGAGCATTATCTCACACATGTATATTGGGCTCTGATCCCACTTGAACCTCCAACCAGCCTTGCTGTGCCAGGCTTCCTGTCTGGATGATACCTTTGAACTTTTACCTATCTTACGGCCCTGTTTTCTAGGACTCATAAGTTAGATGTTTTTGTTTTTATTAATTTTATTGAGAAACAAATAGCAATGAGACAGTTTCAAAACAGGTTGGTAGGACAGTTACAATAATTAATACATTGCATATTGTTGTCTTGATAGTAGTTATTCATAGTACAAGATGAAGACATGATATTCTGTCCAAACACTATTAGTACAAATTTTGCTTCTCTTTGAATTAAGAAAAAGTAGCTGTATATCTATCCTAACTATTTTGTATACACAGATACAAATGGACCTTCATTTATATCCCACTTTTTTGTTTACTTTT